CTGGCCTACTGCCAGACAGCTCTGCTGACAGCGCTCCTTTAACTGACATTAACTTGCCTCATAAACCACGTGTTACCGGCTAACCGCAGGTTCGTGCCTCTCAGATATAGGACAACTCCTTCCTTTGCTTACACTCTCGTAATGACTCTGATCTAGCTCTCCTGCGTGTGAGAACGGAGACGCGTAGGCGGCGCCTCCTGTACAGCGCCGTACAACTCGACAACAGCTTCTCTCCGCGATTACGCACTTAATCATTCGCGTCTTTCATGTGTAAACTGTGCAATCACTTAGCATCAAATATATATATACATATATATATATATATATATATATATATATATATATATATAAAGTGTGTGTATGTGTGCGCGTCCCTTTGTGTACTTGAGGTGATTGTGCCCTCGATGTTTGATATTTGCTAACTGTTTGATTGTTGCTACTAGTGCTTTTTTGATATGGTTCTCCTCTGGACCTTATCGGCTCATACCCGGAGTAACCATTTTATGTTGGAGAGTGTTTCAAACGTTAAAACAGACATGCATACAGACAGAAAAAAAATCATTGAAATCCGTGCTGATGCACATATTTCATGAATTCCCGAAGCCTTCAAACGTTAAACTTACCTAAACTCTCCGTCATTCAAGAACATTAAGTCAATGGATGTAAGTTTTTGCCATTTTAGTTACTTATGACATGGCTTGAAAAGTCAGATACGATTCTGGTAATTCTGGGGAATTCTAGATTGACGTTTGTAATTTTTTTGTAACTTATGGTTTCAGCAGTTGTGATCAAGGTGCTGGCACATGTTGGGTGGATGCCCTAGGCAGGGCTGCACTCCTGTGCAGTTTTATAACACATTTTGCCTCGGTAAAGACCCCAGGATCGTGTATTCGATATTTATTACCGAAATGGTGGCATTACTCGTTGTTCCGCGTATTACTGGCGCACCTATGGGCTGGACACCTTACAGATGCCGGTACTTTAGGCTGCACCATGCAGTTAGTTTCTTCTCTTCATCTGTTCTGGCTGCTGAAATCTAACACCAGTTTTTGAAAACACCCCTAACTGGCCGGTTCGCGGGTGAGTCACAGACAACACCACGACGGCGGGGAACGGCCGCGGGCTCTTGGGCTCACGTTGGGCAGCGAGTCCTCGGCGATTTTGGGGAGCTGGGAATCGACATCACGGCTGAGGCGTCGCATCGTACCCCGGGCGCCGTGAGACGAGGTCGGCACGTGAACCAGACGACCCACAAAAATCTAAAATCCGCGAACAGACGGTGCTCAAACGCCACGCTCCACCAAGAAACTAGGAGTCATGCCGATGTAGGGGAGTTCTATTGGCGGTGAGGCGGAACGGAAGCGGACATTAATGTACGCTCAGAGTACAGCCAGGCTTCCTAGGCTGAATGTCCATTGTCCTCCCCCCCCCCCCCCCCTGCATGCCTTAGCCAATCCCATTTCCTCAACAACCGAGCACTTTTTCAGCAAACCTTAGCAAATGAGGGCCGTTTCAAGCGTAGACTGTGGCATAGAGAATTAGGGTATACTACAGGCACAGGAATGAACGAAAATAGGACATCCTTGCAGCGATGCCTCCTCAACAGTGCTTACCTACCACAGAATTCATTAATTCACCTGGTAAGTCCCTCCTTTCAGATCCTGACACCCTCGCTAACCACCTGATCTCCTCTGTCCCCCGCCCCCCCCCCCCCCTCTCCGCTCGTGATCGCCCGTCACGGGCCCGCCGAGCTGACCTCAGCCACACGGCACCTGACCCTCCCCCGACCGGGGGGAGGGAGGCAGGGGGCGGCCAGGAGCGCGACCGTGCTGTTGGCCTTGGCACGGAGGCGAAATGTCAGCGGCCGGGTAAACAGCGGTACCCGGCGGTCAGCACGCGGCAGGCCGACCGCTCCCGGACAGTCGGCTCGCCCACGGCTAGACAGGCGCCTGACGGACAGGCCTGACACTTGACACACCAAACACCTGACACTTGACACACCGTCTGCACACTGAACGATAGCCGTGGTGGTCGATAAACAGCCTGAGCTATGGCAGACGGGCTTGCCGCCTTGCAGCTAGGCCGGACGACTATCAGACAGGTATGGACCCTGCCAGACAGTCTGACGCAGGCAGACAGGCTTGCCGCCTGGCAGGTGGACCTGACGACTATCAGACAGGTCTTGACCCGTCAGACAGCCTGACGCAGGCAGACAGGCTTGCTGCCTGGCAGGTGGGCCGGACGACTATCAGACAGGCCTTGTCCCTATCAGACAGCCTGACGCAGGCAGACTAGAGGATGAGTACGGACACTGATGAGCAGCCAGACCCCAAGCAGATGGGTCTGGTCTCTGGCAGACAGTCTGAACACGGACGGTCTGGTCCCTGAAAGACAGGCTTGGTCCTTCAGAGACAACTCGACTTTTGTGAAACAATGCATCGCCTTTGTCCAATAACCTCGCCAAAGGAACATACCTAGGCCTTGGCAGAGAGCATGGTCCCTTAAAGACTGATGTTTTTGCAGGCGGACGGCTCCGTCACACCCGAACGAGTGCCCCAGGTAGACATCGGCGACTCCTAGACAGGCTAGCAGTCCTTGTCAGTCCGGTGATCGCTACCTAGCAAACAGACGATTAGCCGCTCCAGACAGACCACACGTGGCCCTTTTATCGGGCCACTGAAAGGCCCGGCAGCAGGTCGTATTTCGCCACGCCGGTAGGCAGGTTCGACGTGAATCACGGCGAGCTGTTTTCATCAGAGAACAGCCTGGGCAGCGGCTGTCGTAGGCGGCCTGTTTTCGCCAGACTGCTGAGGGCCACTTGGGACGTGGCAGTCTCTTCAAAACATAGGGCGACTCTCTAGGACGAGTGTCGTGCTCGTACAGCGGCAGCTTAAACGAGCCTTCAAATGGCGCTGTTTTGGACACTACTGCGAAGATGGCTGAACTATGTAAAGTCTTGCAAAAACCTCGTGTAAAGTCGTGTAAAGTGGTAAAGTCGTGCACAGGTGAACTTTGAGTGAACATTTTATTTCCTTGTATTTCAGTGTAAATTAACGTTAATCCGTTCAAACGCCAAACCAGATATCACTTAATTGTTAAGGACCACACTTGGTGAATCACGATGTTCTTCTGCCCTCAAAAGATCAGAGCGGGGACTCAGACTTCAGATCAGACCAGATCAGAGCGGTCACTCTTGGATGTCGAACTGCGAGGACTGGATGCCACATATTTTGCCCGCTGCATACGAACATTCGCAGCGTTCGACGACAGATGTCAAGCGTGTTCCGTTAGGCGCCGTACTTGCATGGTGGTTATATGGAAGGGTATCTACGTGACTACGCTCGTGAGCCACTAAAACAAGCATTATTAAGGAGGTCAAACTAAAACTTTCTTCGGGTAGCTGAATCAGACAGCGAAAGCCTTCGTCCGGTCTCTGAGGTGTTGCCGCAAACATATACAGGATGGGTCGAGCCTGTTATCGCCAAAAAGGAACGGCACTAAAGACTCGACTGGAGGAATGAACAAAACAAGGTGCTGTGAAGGTGCTTCAAAAATGTGTCTCTTTTTAAATGGTGAGGCGGTCAGAACCGGACGGCCTAAGCGTTCACGTTTTCTTTTGAAAAGTTAAGGCCTCCAATGTGGCTACCAACAGGATACATCCGAATACGTGCACTATTGTCAACACAATCTACCCATAGTCATCAGACGCCTGCCTAGCCACCAGCGAGCAAATTTCCTTAGCGTTTCTGACAACCGTGCTGCTTTTCACGGTTTATACCTGTTCGAGCAACAACAAAAAATGTCTTTGTAACAGCTTACCACTGATGCATGCTATTCTTATTTCTGTCCAAAATTAATCAACGTGATGCGCTCCAACTTACCTGCATAACCCGACAATGGGTCTCCTTTTTCAGACCGCAAAATCACTTAGAAGTATAATAAACTGGCATAAAATTGCGCAAAATTTATAGTGCAAAGTTGCGAACAGGCCCGCTTCTGCCGTGATGTGATTTAATTTGAATTGACTATTCAGGTCATACTATACAATTATGACTATTCAGGTATGACAAGTCAGGAAGGCACGGTACAAATAGTTTTAAGAGGTAGCGATAGGTCGTTGCTAGGTCACCCTATCACATTCCCGCCAAAATTTAAGAGACAAGTGGAGTGCCTCGCTCAGGAGCCCCCCCCCCCCCTTACGAGGAGGCCCATTTTGTCCAGGAGATTTCTGGGAAAAATTGTCCCCACTCAAAATCCTTGGTAACGCCTTGGCTACCTAGCAATACAGTTCATCCTATTCAGACTCACCCACTTTGTCCGAGGATAAAACGGCACCAGGCGAATTGTTACTGTGAAATACAATCCTGTTGCTTCATTTATGATCAAACGCGACATCAGTTGCGTGGCGATGAGGACATTCAGGGATATTTATACTGAGAACAGCGTACTCATGTAAAGGAAATTGTTCTTGTCTATGCAAGCCATTAGGGTGCGCCAACAGCATTCGATAATTTTTGACAAGAACAAAGGCCAACGGCTAATAGGTATTTTTGGCTTTGACCTTGCTTACTGGTTAGTATATACCTTAGGTGTTAAAGCCTGGCCCAAATATTTTCGGCTTAAGACGTTGACAGAGTGTCCAGTTCTCAATATCTGACCTCTGGATGGAGAGCCGGCAGTGACACCACCTGGCGGGCGTCCAGTGACCCGTCAGGCGGTGTCACTGTCTGGCCTGGAAACGACATACTGAGCTTCTGCTCGCTAGAGTGTACCCTTGTGGTGACACCAGCTGACCTTGCGTCAAAACTCTCAGCCGTCCCATCTGACAGGGCCATCGTCTGCCAAGTTTAGCAGCAACAACCCTCGCCCCACTTCGCAGTGACGTCACCCGCTGCTCCTCAGCGGAATCGTCGGCCCCATTTCGCAATGCCATCGTCGGCCGCGTTTCGAGGCGGTATTGTCCGCGCTTTTCCGCGGTGACGGCGCCTGCTCCGTTTCAGCAGTGACCAGCCAGCCGTTGCTGGATGGCGCGCTGGTCGTCACTGAGCTGGACCTGTGCGTCCAGAGGAACGCCATCGAGCACCGCACGCAGCGCTTCGAGCGCGGCATCACCGGGCCGGCTCTGGTCGTGCGTCGCGGCCAGGCCTTCGAGATCTACATTCGCTTCAACAGGAAATACACAGAGGATCGGGACAACATCTCACTCATCTTCAGCGTCGATGGTAGGCGGAATTGCCTTGTCTGGGAATATTTCAGCCGGGGTGTAACCTAACGTAACTATCAGGATTTCACCTGTTATTTTACCATGTCGCCAACCAGCCAAAGCATTTCACCGGCACAAAGGCAAAACAGACTGGCGTGTAGCTTTGTAAGTTAAAAGCACCTATGCCCACATATTCATCCTGAGTATTTATCCTGAGTACCAGCTTACAATCCCTCCTTTCACCGAGCTGACTTCAAACAAGTTTCCGTTGAGGTCCGTCTGGGGCCAAGAATGAAAGGTTTTGCGTTGAAGTGAGGGGGCCAGCAGAGTTCCGGGTGGTCTCCATCCGCGGCTCACCGGGGACCAGGTTATCACCATTTAGGGACGCTCAGAAACTACAAGGGTCAGGGGACCATTAGGTATCACCGAGTAGGGCGCGGGAACGTCCCGGACGCTTATCAACCATGGACTACCGACACCGAATTCCATCCGCCATCCTACTGTTCCGTCAAGGAATGTCGTCTTCCCGTCCTGACGAACCTTCCGCCCAGCGCCGCGCGACCCTACCTGCCTCCCCCTTCCCTGGCATGGCCGGCGGCAACCGGTGGGACTGGGGTCACCTCGCCGCCCACGCCCCGTCGGCCGCACCGCCCGGCTGCCCTCTGCCGCGTGCCGCCGAGCGCCGCTCCAAGGTAAACAGCGGCGGCGGCGGCCGGGCGGCGCTGGGCCGCTCGGCTCTGCAACCGCGGTGGTATGGACAGGGCAGGGGAGTGGGGCTGACAGCGCACGGTGATCCAATGCATCCTGTTAAGCGGTGTTGCTGCGGGGATGGAATCTGGTTAGACAAACGGCGTCGGCGCTCATGGTTATGTGGCATATTTATTTGTTTCCCTTGCGATATCGCTCAGACTGATGCACTGTGAGTGTCCGATATGTGCAGCTCATGCCAACTGAAAGCTGCATTGTGCGGAAGTCTGCGCGCGTTAAAGCTATAGCATTCGAAAGGCGGCGCAATGTTGCCTTTTCCGCTGTTTTCCCCTGTTTTGTATTGCTTAAGATTTAGCCAGAACCTTTTGATTACATTGATTTCTGCTATCGGCGCCCGCGCAGTGCTTTTTCGTGAGTTCTGGCCACACCATCTGATCGTGAAATGCCGGGTAAACAACAGCGCCTCGCGGTGGAAGTCTGCCGTGCCATAATGCTCGGCACAGTCCGTCCTGCCCCCTGACGCTACCTGACCTTCAGCGCGGCGGCGCTACCGGTCCCAGGTCATCCCAGTCGTGAACAATTGGCGAACGCCTGAAATGGCTCGGACCCAGCTCGTCACGGTTGGGTAAATCCGGATCCGAATCCGAATCCGAAACCAGCTGAACTATCGGGACACACCGCACGATTTTTCCACGCATGTGTTGTTTGCCTGAGTCTATTGTTCGCACAGGCTGGCCTCCGATTGCCATGACTGGCCTAGCGGTGTTACAGCGGTGCTTCTGTGGTTTGGCGGGCGCGACAGCGTGCTCGCGCAGTTCTCTCACGGGATGATGTGGTTCTGCAGGCGTGGAGGTGCCGTCGCTTGGCCACGGGACGCTGGAGGCCATTCCGGTGACCCGCGAGGAGCCCACCTCCTCGGACGCCTGGCGCGTGCAGATCGTGCAGAACGAGGGCGACAAGATCACGCTCAGTGTGAGCAGCGCGTGAGCCTCGAGTCCATGCCGTCGGCTGCCGACGCTGACTAGTGCCTGGCGGCTGAAAACGGTCCGTTGAGCCCCGCTGTCCCCAAATCTCGCTCCAACCTGAAGGGTACGACTTCGTGCCGCTCCTCCCTGGTGTTGTGTTGTGTTCCTGGTACATGCCAGGCGATGTGGGAAAGTGAGTAGCCGATGTGCCCTCTGTTATGAAAGCTTGCCTTGAGTGGGTAGATTATTCATCGCTTGCGTCCGATTTTGGTGGATTTCTTACCAAATCCGTGCAAGTTTTCACTGTTCTCATCAGTCCGTAAAGCTATCACCTGTACCCACATAAGACGTTTACGTCGAAGAGGTTGCTGTCTATGTCGGAGTCGCGTCACCCAGCCCTTTTGGACACGCAGGTGACACCATCAGCCAAATGCATCGTCGGAAAGTGGAGGATCGACGTGGACACGAAGACGGGCGACCATTCATTGAGCTACACCCACCCGGACGTGATGTACATTCTGTTCAACGCCTGGTGCCCCGGTGAGTCTTGCCGCAACGGCGTCAGTGATGACGTTCAACAGTGCTTCGTGCACCATCTGTCTGACGCTCTGTGCAGCTCAGGGGATCGCTGTCCGGCATGTGCATACCACTGGCGGGCGTCCGCTGAGGCTCGCGCGAAGAGTCAACAGGAGAGTTCCGGAGACCTTGATGGCGGCCGGGAGAAAGGACGGCGTCTGTGTGGTCTGCGTGGAATGGCTGGGCTGACTGGTAGAGGCTGCGCAACATTCGAACCGTCGCTGTCCCGGTGTGGCGCTGCACTTTGGCTCGTGGCATTGACTCTGGTATGCAAACCGCGTTTCTGTTTACACTCTGTGGCTACATCAACAGTCATGAATTCGTTTCGTGCTGCAGAGAAGGCCTGTTTGGTCGCCAAGTCGCCAGCTTCACTTGTGACAACTTGACGAAATCTGGGCTGTTCTGGTAGTGGGCAATGCTCAGGAAAACTAGCACTACATTCGACTGCCTGCGTTTTTTTCATCCCATTCCACTCAACCGTTCGTTTAACTCAAAAGCTGGAATTGTTTTAATGTTTTATATTTCCTTATTTCAGCTTGGGGCTACTGCCCGACGCATCCGCGCTGAGGGTGCATTCTGTACGCCAGATGTCAGTTTCTAGTGCGTGTCTGCCAGCCCTGTAGTGACGCTTGAAGCAATGTCCCTTGTGCACCAGATGACAGTGTGCTCTTACTGAACGGCGCGCGTTGAGACAACGTCCTCTGTAAACCAGACGAGTGTGTTCCTGTCGGACGGCACCTGTTGAGCTGCTATCCCCCGTGCACCAGATTACAGTGTGTTCCTGTCGGGCCGCACCTGTTGAGCTGCTGTCCCCCGTGCGCCAGACGACAGTGTGTTCCTGTCGGACGAGAGCGCCCGGGCCGAGTACGTCCTCAACGACGCCGGACTGCTGTACCGCGGCAGCCACAGCCGACTGCGCCCCACGCCCTGGAACTACGGCCAGTACGAGCCCAGTGTGCTCGACTGCTGCCTGCATGTTGTCGGCAAGGCGATCTGCAGCCGCCTGTCGGATCGGGCCGATCCGGTGGCCGTGACTCGAGCCATCTCCGCCATGGTGGGTACCCCATGCATCTGATAGTGCAAGATTTCCGCGTCGCCGTGGTCTCAGAGCGCCGCACCGTACTGTGTGCCCGGGATTTGGCAAGGTGTGTCACTTATTGAGTTTTCGCCAAGTTTCAGGTGACGTATCTGTTTCGTTCCCGCGCCGTTTCGCTTATTTCTCTGCTCTGTTGCGGTAGGTGGCGCACCGTGTCGCCTTAGACTTGAAGATGGAGAACTTGTGGCTCCTCCGTCACAAAAGGCGGCGCTGCTTTCCGAAGCTTGCTGCGATACTCACGCCATAAACCCGACTCTTCACGAACCTGGCTTAGACCGAGAGTTCTGCTGGACGAGTGTTACGATTGGTCTGCAAGTCTACCACCCGTGCAGCACCCGCAGAACGTCAGCCGGCGTGCGCACGTCTGCATCCCATCATCCGTGCTGTCCTGCTCCGCATGGCCTCAGCCGGTCTGTGCTGTTTCGTGCGCCCGTTCAGGCCTGGGTCGGTCCCACACGCAGTTCTTGTGTCTGCGCGTCACAGACCGCCTGGTGCCCACCTGTCGCCAGGTGAACCACTGCGACGAGAACGGCGTGCTGGTGGGCAACTGGAGCGGTGACTACGGCGGCGGCTCGCCGCCCACCAAGTGGCAGGGCTCGGTCAAAATCCTCCAGAGGTACTACGACACTGGGAAGCCTGTCAAGTTCGGCCAGTGCTGGGTGTTTGCTGGCGTGTCGACCACAGGTCAGTACTTCAAGCGGCAAAAAAGCTGTCCCAGAGCGCGTCGAGGCAGGACGGAAGCAGCGGCTCTCAAACTGCTACAGTGAGTCCCGCCGCTTTGAGTAGACCATTGCACAGTGTGTTGCCCGCGCGCTGAAACAGTGACTGCAGCCGTTGTGACTGGTGCAGCAGAACTTATCGCACTTCGCTCAAAAGTCAGGCTTAGAGATAAGTGCTGTAAGACTGCTAGCATGAACAACATGATGCTCATGCCTGTTTACTCTCTTGCATTCTTTCCTTTGTTTCGAAGGAACAGAGTTGATAAGAGGGCAGTAATGAAAACAAGCAGATGACAGGCATACCGGTAGCAGGTAATCTATGGCTGCATGTCTTGCTCAAGGACGCAGGAACCGAGGGGGGCAGTGGGGGCATTTGGCCCCCCAACTTGAAAGCTAGGGGCGGCGCCTCCCCCCCCCCCTCCCCCAGCTGTGGGCCTGTGGAGGGCCCATGCTGGTATTTTAAGGGCCGATTCTGAAGTGTGAAGGGATTATTTAATCCCGTAGAAGTCCACTCTAACCTGTCAAGGACACCTTCTGGTCTAGATCGGATCCATTTTGACCAAAAGCGGACACTGCAGAGCCTGCAGAGAGCCCATTCAGGCCTGTAGAAGGCCCATTATCAACTGTGAATGGCCTATTCTAGCCTGCAGAGGATCCATTCCGGTTTATGGAGGGCCACTCTGGCCCGTGGAGGGCCCCATCTGGCTCGTAGGGGGCTCTTTCTGGCCTGTAGAGGGCCCAATCTGGCATGTCGAGGAAACATTATCGACTATAGAGAGCTCATTCTTGCCTGAATAGCGGATCATTCAGGCCTGTAGAAGACCCATTCTGTCCTGTAAAGACATCATTCTGGACTAACAAGGGTCCATTGTGACCCGAAAAGGTCGCATTCTGAACTGTGGTGGGCCCATTCTAACCCGCAGAGGTCTCATTATTGACTGTCAACGGCTTTTTGTTCTGCATGCTGCCCGTTGTCATTCACTATGGGCCCGTTATGACCTGAAAGGGGCTCATTTATGACTTAAAGGGCCTGTTCGGTCTTGAAGGGCGCCAATCGTCTGGCATTCTGGACCTATTTTGGTTTTGGCGTTTTGGAGTTTGCCTCCCAACTTGAACAAAGCTCCCGCGCCCCTGGTCTTGCTGATGCGCTCCACTCTGTTTCAAAAATAGTCCCTGTCTCGAGTGTGTTTTGTGGCGGTCAGCATGAGTATATATATATATATATATATATATATATATATATATATATATATGTATATATATATATATATTGCTCTGACTGCCACTTTTGGTATTATTGCTGACCGTAACAAAACACATGCGACAGAAATAATTTTTGAAACAGAGTGGAGCACATCCGCAAGACCACGGGCGCGGGAGCTGTGTTTAAGTTGGGGAGGCAAACTCCAAAATGTCAAAATGGGTCCAAAATATTAGACAGTGGGCCCGTTCAAGACTCAACAGGCTCTTTAAGTCTATAATGGCCCCCTTTAGGCCCATTATTATCAATAATGTCAGTATGGATCATTAGTGGGACACCAATATATATATATATATATATATATATATATATATATATATATATATATATATATATATATCGTTAAAAGCTATGATACGAAAAACCAACCTTTCATTTACCGCCAGGATATCAAAAAATTATTAGTGTACGGTATAAGGATGTTGAGGCCATGAAAGCATCGAGCATTCTGATCATAGATTCCAACGATTGCTTGATATCTTCGTTGAACCAGGATCGCCTTTCAGCTTAATAACTCATAGTGCTGAAAATCAGCAGTTTTAGGGGACTGTTCCACAGTTCAAGACATTGAAGGGGCCATCGTATGTGATGAAATCAGTTCACTCGTAGCTATTGGTATGCTTTTGAGTGCCAAAACTACTCCCAGTTTCCGAATTTTTCCAGCTAGTAAATGTGGTACGCAATACGTCATGGTTTGTTCACATCATGGAACGTTTTTACGACGTCAGATTCGCTGCCAGAGTTGCTAGGTCAGAGTTGCCGCTGTAGCGTACGGTATGATTCACCTGTGGTACTGCTACGCGCCCCAAGATGGCATTGTGTGTCTGTGTGCGTGAAGTTGACGAACGAGCGTGATGTGAGTGTGTTTTAGCCTTTTCTCATGGTGTTCTTGTTTATTTTTACAGGACGTCATCACCTTTCTTGTATTTTCATCTCCGTTTACGACGCTTTTCTTGAGTTACTCGATCCTCAGCCTTATGTCCGTCATACTTAGTAGTCACCCAAATGCCTGTGTCATTTATGCCGAAACACGGTTCGTGATCAAGACCGTCAGGGAACATCGTTGGCCCATTCGGCGTTACCATCCGTATTGGCGGAACACCTTCTCTGCATCGAGGGTTCGCTCCATCTGCGGCTGACTGCCGAGCTCCAGCACTCTTCGTCGTTTTTGTCGCCTTTCGGTTCGCACTCGCTCCAAACACACACCTTTGCACTTAGTTTTTGTTTCTCCCTTCCCGCTCTCCCTTAAGGCGCGACAAGCGTAAGAAGAACGGCTCTGACACAGATTCGAACTTGGTCAACGTAAATAATATGTAAATGCAAGCGTAAAACGTTACGTTACGCGAAAAAGTCAAATGTTGTTCACATTTCTTTCAAACACATGAACCCGGGATTATTTTGTTGAGCTACTGTAGAGCAGAAAATCTAGGCAGACACCGCATTGCTGGCTGTTTAGGATAAGTCCGGCACCACCGGAGAGTGAAAAACTTTGACTGTTCATCTGGCCGCGTGCATGCATGCATTTTGCTGTATCAAACGACAGGCGCTACCGCTCGTGGACGTTCATAAGCGGCTGGATGACCTCGGTCCAGTCGTAACCGCAAGAAACTGGTTGATTTCCACATGCGCGGAAGGATTTAGAGCCTCCAGCACCCTCCCGTTGCTACGTGATGAGATAACGGATGCCCCTTTATCAGCACATGACTGTATTCACTGACGCAGACCCTAATCAGACAGGTCCAATAATGACTCCCCTCTGACCTCCACGCTCCGCACTGCTCCGGCCACGTTGACTCGACCGTGACGTGACCCGGCGCTGGCATAAGCCCGTGCGTCACGACACGCCCTCTCACCGCTGTCAGCCTGTGCGCCAGCCGCGCAGCCCGCTTCATCCATCAGTACTGAGGCCTCTGCAGCTCGCGGGCTACGCTGCGCCAGGAAGTGTTATTCCTCCTTGCTGTGACCGAGTCGCGTCTGCCGGGTGCTTGCAGTCGGCCGCGCGCTCGGCATCCCGTGCCGTCCGGTCACGAACTACCAGTCGGCGCACGACACCCACGGCAGTCTCACCATCGACCTGTTCTACGACGCCGAGGGCAAGCCCGTCGAGAGGCTCAACAAGGACTCGACCTGGTGAGGCTGCTTCGATCCCGTCGGAGCCCAGCGCTGAGCGTTGCTCTGAACTGGAGGGGGGGGGGGGGGGGGGGAGAGGGTACGTTTACGTGAGCACGCAGCATCGGAAGAACCACACCTGTCGGTGACGTCACGACTGGCTCAAATGTCGGCTCTCGTGCTCTAGCGAGGAGCGTGGCAGGTCAAAGAAATGTCTGTTTACCGTTAGTAACCGTTATCAAACAATGGTTCAGTGGTGTACCTGCGCTTCATAGTGACGATGTCTCTCCTATACGCGGTGTAAGCGCGGTTGTCGCGCCAGCAGCTTCTATGATCTGGATTGCTGACTGTATAGCATCGTTAGTGCTAACACAAAACTACCGAGCCGTCGACTGCACAGTGCATCCGGCAAACACGTGCCAGAGTGTGCCGACAGGACCCAGGAAACCGGCCGCGCCGTTCTCGAGAGTCTCGAACAATGCTTTCAGCATCAAACGTGGAGGAGCGCCACTTTGTTTGCAAAGGCTTTGCACCTGGCAGCTCACACAGTTAGTCGGGTGTCCACGAAATTCTTCGTATGCTCCACTCTTGTGTTACATATTCATGAATGCGCCGGGGGACCGGAGCATCGCAGTATGCTGCCACGTGGCCTTGTCGGCCGGATTTAGACGCGCGACCGCCCTCTGGGTGGCATTGACCACGCCTTGGGGTGTGACAGGAACTTCCACGTGTGGAACGAGGCGTGGATGGAGCGACCGGACCTGGCCTCGCCCAACTTCAACGGTTGGCAGGCGTTCGACGCCACTCCGCAGGAGGTCAGCGAAGGTCAGTGCGCTCTCGGGAGCACCGAAGATCACTGCGTTCCCAAGCGAAGCGCAGCTTTGTGCGCTTCTGTTAGTATACAGCTTCAGCATGCTCCTATCGTCCAAGAAAGCATGTGCGTCCCCAGGTTCAGCAAGAATCGATGCGCTCATGGAGTCTGCACAGGTCAGCGGGCTCCCGGATGCGTAGAATTCGGTCCACTACCCGGTAAATGTCGACCGGCGGCTGCCCCAGACCGTTAGAGATCCGTCTACCCCAGACCGTCAGAGGCCCATCTGTCCCAGACCGTCAGAGGTCCGTCTGCCTCAGGCCGTCAGAGGTTCGTCTGCCTCAAGCCGTCAATGGTCTGTCTGCCCCGGGCCGTCAGAGGTCCGTTTGCCCTAGGCTGTCAGAGATCTGTCTGCCCCAGGCCGTCAGAGGTCCGTCTGCCTCAGGCTGTCAGAGATCTGTCTGCCCCCAGGCCGTCAGAGGTCCGTGGCTATCCAAGATCTGCGAGCGATTATGTTATTTAGAGGTCAGCACCTGTGTCCTCCCGCCAATTTTGCGCTTCAATAAAAAGTGTATCCCCAGTCGGCAGTCTCAGGTGCGCCCCTGGCCTTGCGAGATTTGGCGGTGGAGCTCTGTCTGTCCCCGTGTGCACGGAAACGTCCCTGTCCCTCATCATGTTGTCGGTTGTCATCTCATGCCGACGGCTGCTTCCCGTGGGAGGAGAAGCCAACTTCAGGTAACCAGAGCTTTGGAGGTGATGAGGTCCTGGAAACAGTCCTCGTGACGGCCCATAATAACTCGCGGGGGTGGAGCAGGTGTCGGCTCATCGGTAGTTTTGCATGCCACCCCAAAAAAGACTGATAGAAGACGCCCCCTTGTTTGAGCATACATATGAGCATTGTGGAGGGTGGATCAGTTTTAGACATCAACCCAATTGTCTTTCCGTAATGGCGACATCAATGATCACCCCGGCAATTCGTTTGACGCAAGATTGACCGAGGGCACGTATACGGCGCATGTTTCACCAGTGAGGTAAATCCCTCCAAGCGGGAAGCCAACAAGCTGCGCGTCCTGATTCCTCGGTTCGGCACGCTCCTTGGTGAGAACATCTCGGTTTGACCTCTGTGTTGCAAGGTCGTTTTGCGTGCGGCCCCTGCTCGCTGGCGGCCATCAAGGAGGGTGAGGTGAAGAGATCCTTTGACACCACCTTCGTCTTCGCCGAGGTCAACGCCGACAGGGTGTATTGGAAGTACTCTGGGCCCATGCAGCCCTTGAAGCTCTTGCTCACCGAACCGGCAGAGTGAGTGATGAAACCAGACTCGATGCTCTCTAAGCGATTTTTATACTCCGTGGTGTTCTAGATATGAGAGTGTAAATACATATGAGCGGGGAAAATAAGCAAATGAGCACCTACTGAGTAAGTGAACGAGTGAGTAAGTGAGAGAGAGTGAGTGAGTGAGTGAGTGAGTGAGTGAGTGAGTGAGTGAGTGAGTGAGTGGGTGAGTGAGTGAGTGAGTGAGTGAGTGGGTGAGGGAGGGAGCGAGGAAGGGGGGTGGGTGGGCGGGTGGGCGGTTGGTTGGGTGGGAGGGAGGAAGGGAGGGAGGGGTGAGCTGGATGGAGTTGGGGATGAGTAATGAGGTAATGGAACTCAATGCAATGTCACCGGTATCCTGTTGCGTCAGCAAAGCCTCCCCAATCGTACTGAGTCATATTGTTTTCGCGCCTCCGTGGCGTCACCGCCGCTTTGAGGTGCCTGCAGTGCGGCTGGTAATCTAGCGTATCATGTTCGGAGATTATTTCTGCCGCCAGCGTATCCAACAGCTGCGGCCACGACTTTGCGGCTCACATGGGCAGTGCCCATATTGTACAATCAGTCCCTTCGCTGCCGGCTCATTTGCTAGGACGCGCCTTGTTGTGCCGCTGTTACCATCGCAGATCTGATGGTGCTCACCCTTCAGTGCGCGTGGGGCGTGTCTGCGGCGTCCTCCGCCCGGATGTGGTCACGCCAGAGTGCTGGGGCGTTGAGCCGGTCTCACAGCCCGCTGTGGCGATGGCGTAACATCACTGGCTCCTTCTGCAGCATTGGAAAGGTGGTGGTCACGAAAGCCCTCGGCAAGTGGAGTCCTGAAGACCTGACGGACCACTACAAGTACCAGGAAGGTGAGAGGCTTGGTCTCAACACGTACCGAGGTCAGTACAGTAAGATGTCCTGAAGACCTGACGGACCACTACGAGCACCAGGAAGGTGAGAGGCTTGGTCTCAACGCATACCGAGGTCAGTACAGTAGGATGTCCTGAAGACCTGACGGACCACTACAAGCACCGGGAGGGTGAGAGGCTTGGTCTCAACGCATACCGAGGTCAGTACAGTAGGATGTCCTGAAGACCTAACGGACCACTACAAGCACCAGGAAGGTGAGAGGCTTGGTCTCAACACATACCGAGGTCAATACAGTAGGAAGATGTGCATTACGTATGGGTGACATGCTACCCTGTAATGGATCGATGACTTACCATCACATGCTATTTGAACCTAACGGTGGATTTTTGCGTGTCCGTACCCGAATCCGAACTGTCAGAGAGATCCTATAAAAAGATGTTGCGTGTGTTGTGAATTGCCTCAGACGCGAAGTCCAGGCAGGTCATACAGTTTCAGCGCAACCGGATAATGACAGTAAAACACTGTGCGCAGCACTTCTAGGAAATGAAAGCTAAATCAAACGGCCATTTTTTTTTCACGTCGATGTAGAGAATTTCGACAATTTCAAATTACTGAAAATCCATAAAAAGAACAACTAGCACGCTCCTGAACACCATTGCGCTATGACGGACCATTAGATTGCTTTACAATCTGGAATAATCAAGTGCAGAAAATTTGCGAATTAGTGCACAACTCAAAAGTCGCTTACTACAGGTGTTCAAAAGAATTTGTGGTAACATGCGCTCCTGTGGGGGTCAATTTGACCGCGCCTGAAGATTTTTATGGAATAATCTCTGAACGGCGCGACGTAGCTGAGTCAAAATTTGCACAGCTATAGGTAACTGAATGGCGAATAATTTGGTTCTAACAAATTGCATGTACTTTGTTAAGTTGCTTCCATACAGCACGTCAAAGTCAGACTGTGGCTGTCAGCGAAGGCATTTTCTAGGGAATAGCTCAATCTGATGCGCCAATTGAGTGTTAGACGAAGCCATACATCTATGAGATAGTTTCCTAGGCACTAAAATAATTGAATTTAGGATTGCAGCGCATTCCATTGAACTAGGCTAAGGTACAAAGGTCAGACCGAAGTCAAAACCAAGTTGATTCTCTACTTGAAAACTTACTTTATGGGGCAGTTTCTGATACCCATTTTGAGCTTTTGATAACAAGGAACCGCAAGACATCTTCAAATGGTCTTCTTGAAGGTCAGAGTAAGCTACTGGCCTAAGACGATCCTGGTCAACATCTTTTAGGAATAAACCACCAGCGTAATTCCTAACGCTTATTCAAATGCAAGCATTAAAACAATGTCGCAGGATGTCGTCAACATGACCTGAAGGTCAAACAAGGTTAATGATCTTAAATGCGCATTAGTAACCTTTTGTTTGGAACAGAGAGAGAGAGAGAGAGAGAGAGAGAGAGAGAGAGAGAGAGAGAGAGAGAGAGAGAGAGAGAGAGAGAGAGAGAGAGAGAGAGAGAGAGAGAGAGAGAGAGAGAGAGGGAGAGAGAGAGAGAGAGAGAGAGAGAGAGGGAGAGAGATTTATATATATATATATATATATATATATATATAAATCTCTCTCCCTCTCTCTCTCTCTCTCTCTCTCTCTCTCTCTCTCTCTCTCTCTCTCTCTCTCTCTCTCTCTCTCTCTCTCTCTCTCTCTCTCTTTCTCTCTTCAAGGCGGTTGTATGAAGAGGCCCGGGGACACCAATCGTGAGTTTGATTTTGTTGGCCCTCGTTAACCCGACGTTTATGACCTAGGGACCTTAAATATGGAGCAGGGAAGCTAAAGTACAGACCAATCCACCTTGTCAATTCGGTGTTTTTGTTTTTCAAACTTTTTCAGCTCTCATGGGTCCTCCCCTGTATGCAACGAAGGGTATTCAGTCGGTTACTCGGGTACGTGTTAAACCACCAGTTGGCTTGAACAGTAGCAAGAACGAGAGTGCTGCGACAAAATACCGCTGCGAATTCGTATACATGAGGTTGGTATTCACAGCAGACTGGCAGTCATGGAATTTGCATCCAACAAATGCCCTTATCTGAGAGGTTTTGTGACCTCACGGTGCCATAGTGTACCGCTCTGCTCACCCCATATTGGCATACTTTTGGTCATCATTAAATGTTTCCAATTTTACATAAAATCGCCTTTCCCAGATTGCTCGTCTCCAGACACTCGGTTTCAAGTTCTCGTCCCGCCGCTAAATACGCAAGTGCCCTGCATCATCGTCATCTTTTACGCTTCGCTGTTATAAGTATGGCTGTATTCGCACGCTTCAGTGGCACAATAAATCGCTTTAGATGTTGCACTTTCGTTTCTCCGAGTTAATACTCTATTCTGCATTTTCCAAGAAATCGAATAGTTCAAGTTCTTGGCCATAAAATTATGATATTTTATCAAAAGAGACACGGGGTCTCAGCTGAGCGTTTCAGTGCTGATTGTACCTTCCATTTATATAAAAGCCCTGGAACTCGACCTTCTCCAATCTGTGCTCCCGATTGGTCCAAAATCTGGCATTTCCAACTGATCACCGATTCCAGGTGCGCGTCAGATCCCAGATAAGTGGACCAGGACAGCAACGGGCTGAGTACGCGACTAGAGCGGCCGATGGCGGGGAATCTTGCCCGGCATGTGGTATAATTCTGTCCTAGCACTGACATCGTACTTACAGGTTGACGACGCCTTGTTCCTCGTTGAGACCGGCAGTTTCGCCATGCCAATGCAGGCGACATTCATTCCGTTAGAATTGGAAGCTCACCTTTTTCCATTTGCAGCGTGATTCCCCGCCGTCCCAAACTTCCTCAGGGCGTGGGATTACGCTGCGCTCGTTATCACTCGATGACATTTAACCGTTGGACGCTTGTTTGCCATTTCCTTGAGTTCACGTGGCCTTCTTCGTCAGCCTCCTCTTCGGAACGGCGAACGATGCTGCGCGCTCTAAGGGAGACCGGCCACATCTTCAGCAGGTTCTATCTCAACGAGGAGCTGGAGGACATCCGGTGCGACTTCACACTCAACGATGACATCGTCATTGGCCAGACGTTTCAGTAAGTCGCTCTTCAGTCACGGCGGCTGTTATTTTTCTGTTTGTTGTTCTTGCATGCTCCAATGTAATGTTACGGTGTGGAACTCGTTGGTTGACGTTCAGGGTTTAGATTTGGGGTGATTTTTTTAATGTTTCAAAGCACGCCACATGAGCACAGCTCACGCCCGAAGATCCACTCTTAATTTGCAAACCCGTGAGTAAAAGCAAGGTAACGCCTCGCAGATTATCTCGAAATTAATCACCATTTGGTCCATCGTGTTGACACAAAGCCACATAGTTTCCCAAGTGATGGCTCACGACTTGGACGGCGCATGCCTCCGACACAGGTCGATGTGGCAACATTAGAATTGGTCACGTCGCCTTCAACTTCCCTTCGCAGCGTCAACCTGAAGGTGGAGAACCGCAGCGAGGACAAGACGTACACGGTGTCGGCTCACCTCCGCGTGGACACGCAACTCTACACTGGTCGGTCCGGCAAGTTCGTCAAGAAGAACAATTACCGGTTTCAGGTGGCGCCCGGACAGGGTGAGAGGCGTGCTGGCGCCGGCTCAGTGGTATCTGTTCGGTTTTTGCGCCTGCCCATCATCCACACGCGCCTATCCAGCTGTAATACAGTGGTACCCGGGCATTCGTGATGCATACAGCACAGTGTTGCGTATGTGACACGTACTAGTCAGCTTACCATGCGGAAAGATTATAACCAATCAAATGTCGTTATTTCAAATTATGTGATGCGGACGTTTCTCTACTACTTTTGCCCGTACGGTTGGTAACTGCCTTGAAGCCAGCGTCGCTCTGTCCTGACGGCCACGAGGCGGGCGAGGTCAGAGATCAATCAGCAGCGTCACGGGGTTGCAGTTGACGAGGTGTCCATGCCAGTGGCGTACGACGAGTACTACAGCCAGCTGGTCGACCAGAGTGCCTTCAACATCGCCGCCCTAGTCAGTGTGCTGGACACCGACTACGAGTACTTCGCGAGCGACGACTTCCGGGTCCGCAAGCCGGACATACGGCTGGAGGTGAGTTATAGCCGGACATACGGCTGGAGGTGAGTCATGGCCGGACATACGGCTGGAGGTGAGTTATAGCCGGACATACGGCTGGAGGTGAGTCATGGCCGGACATACGGCTGGAGGTGAGTTATGGTCGGACATACGACTGGACGTGAGTCATGGTCGGACATACGGCTAGAGGTGAGTCATGGCCGGACATACGGCTGGAGGTGAGTTATGGCCGGACATACGGCCGGATGTGAGTCATGACCGGACATACGGCTGGAGATGAGTCATGGCCGGACATCCGAATGGAGAGATTTGAGTCATGGCCGGACATCCGAGTGGAGAGACGTGAGTCATGTCCGGATATCCGAATAGAGATACTTGAGTCATGGCCGGACATCCGAGTGGAGAGACGTGAACCATGTTCGGAGATTCCATCGGGCTGGGCCACATCTAGGACGGTGTTATCCATTACTTGCTGGCTTTAGGGACTACTGACGTTGACTGAAACTGATTTGGGCTTCGGTCATGCCAGCTTTGAGGTTTCTCTCAAGTTTGTTCCAACCAGCAACCAGCGAGTATTTCGGTCCGTTATTTGTTGGACATCCGTTGAGAAAGGCCGGTGTGTTATGAAGAAATCATTTGCATGGGCTTGAAAAAAAAAATCAAAAGAAAATTAAACTGCAGGATAATTCGGTCAAAGAAACCGACATCTACGTCACCGGGTTGGCTTTGTGTAGGACGTTTCCAAACTGAACCTTACAGCTTTGGCCATCTTTCTGAAGGTGAACCATGTGCCAGACTGCCCAGCGGCAGGCGAGGGACTGCAGAAAGTGATTGGCCTATACCCGAATTTCTGAAGAATTGACGGAGGCTGGGTCTACCGAGTTCGCAGCATCTAACCTGTCCGTTTTGTATTCCCTGTCGAGCGATCTGACCGTGTCTGGTCCTCAGCTGGACGGATCTGACCGTGTTTGGCCCTCAGTTGGACGGATCTGACCGTGTCTGGCCCTCAGTTGGATGGATCTGACCGTGTCTGGCCCTCAGTTGGACGGACACCCTTCGGAGAACGCCGAGCTGAGGGTCGTGGCGGAGTTCAACAACCCGCTGCCGATCAGCCTGACGAGGGGAAGATTCCTGTTGGAGGGCGGCGGCTTGACCGAGCCAATCAAGATCAAGGTTAACAGGTGGGTGGATAGGATTTTATGTGCAGACTGGCTCATTGAAGCCGCCCTTCAGTCCGCTCGCGCTTCTCCTTGAGAATTTATCTGGGTGTATGCGTCAGTCATTAGAACCAGCGATGACAATGCGTTCTGCTTTGTGTTTGGTGACACCTCATTCCTTAAGCTTATTCAAGAAAACAACAATCTCCTGACGTTTCGTTTCGTTCGAGTGGCGGTGCTGTTTCCGGGGAAATTGCCTTACCTATTAAGGTGTGTGTTCCCTATTGCCATTCTTGTTCTCCATGGCACGATGGGCCATTTCCCAACACTCATTCCTCCTTGTGCACAGCGATGTCCCATGTATCGCTCCCCTCTTGCAGATTCTCTCTTTCGGGAGGAACTGAGACCGCGCTCCCGGTCAACTGATATTTATCTGCCGACAAGCCTTCCACACCATGCCCATGTCAATACTACCTTATCACCCCTACCGGGGTCTGAAAGCCCTTCCTTGCAAGAACCTTTCCTGTCCGCCGGTTTTGCTGGGGTTCAGGGGTGAAAATCTGTTTTCTGTTACCGACGAAATTTGGAACCGTCTGAATTGTCACCTCGAGTCAAATCTTTTAGAAGCCGTTGTAATACAAATTTGATTATGATAAACCACAAAAACAAAGGCCAATTCAGCTGAATACGACATAGCCAATAACCATTTTTGTTTCGGGAGCTCTTTTGCACAAAAGTATCATTTATTGTCCACCAAACACTGAATAATCGTTGAGACTAGACTAATAAAATCCTCAGGTAAATGTAAAGCTAACATAACCTGCCTAGGCTTTTAGTTTCCTTTTCAGATGAGGGCTTAGGGGATTGTGCCTTCTAACCAGTGGCGAAGTGTCCTATTCCTAGTCAGCATTTTTATACATTATGTTTCATTATTCATAAATTTTTGGGTTTAGCCCCGCCCCCATAACTAATTTTGAGAAATACACTACTGCTCCTAACTGTGAAAAGAAAGCGCGTCAAATGGGGAGGAGAAAGCTGATTTAAATGCATTTTAAAGGTAGGCTCAGCCATTTTTCTTCCGCCCCTTCCTTCCCTCCCTCTCCCCCCCCCCCTTATTTTGAAAAACTGCCTCCCAGTAGTCCTACATTTACCGATAAAATGGTTCTACAAGAACCTGGAGACAATATAAAGTTTGGTTCTGTGACGTCATTGTGCAATCAGCTGGAAACGTTGGCGACCTTCACTGTCTTTGCATAATCGTTACGGTGCACAACTCGCTCTTCACAACATGATCCCAACTATTTAGAGCCAAACTCGTGCAATATTGGTATCAATAGATGCAAACAACATTTTTGAGCATCACTAGCACTTTCATTTATGCATTATGATCAGAATTAAAAGCGTTTTATCTCACGCGTGTCCAGAACGATAACTCTGAGGTGTAATGGGCAATGTGAGTGGTCCACACCAGCGATGCTCGGGATCTCGCCTCAAAGCCACTTTACCTCTCAGAAACAGGAAGCCCTGGATGAATCCTTGACATGTGTCGCTCCAGCGTCCTTCATTTACCTCTGCAACTACAGCTCAGGCATCCACAAACTACAACCCTTCTTGATCAGCAGGGCGTTTTAACACTTTTACCCTAAAAAGAAACTGACGATTAGCTACGTTTTTCTAACCAGTTACTGCATTACCGCGTGGCGAGCATTCGGGCCGATCTGTCTCAAATGGCACGCCGCTTTAAAACTCTGCGTATTAAACTGATCACATTCGTCGCAAGATCCTGCGGCCAGCTGTAACGCTTACGACTAGTAATAAGCCTGGTTGTTTGGTATTTTTGGTGTTGAGTATGTGAAGTGAATCTGGGCTGAAAAAAACTGGAAAAGCACTGATCTGAGGGGCATTGGAAAAGCACTGTGTCCACCACTGGCCTGTGACGTCAGCACTGATATAGTGTAATTTGTATTATATTTCTGTCACCTTGCTGAAAACTATTCCTAATAAAAGCTTGTATGTTTGGCACCATGTTATGGCTCAATTTGCTCATGAGGCGAAACGTCACCGCTTTGACATGTCCTCTGCACATGCTCACGCTGCAAGCGTTAGTGAGTACAGACCAATACTAAGCTTTGAGTTTCATCTAGCTGGGATCGTCTATTGTAATATGGTTCCCGTCTGTTGAAATGTGTTTTTATTTTTGAAATGTTGCTACCAATTGGCTCACAAAAGTCTCCGTTTTTGACACCTACCATATCCGATAAATCAGAAGCTTTTTCACCCCTGGGCTCGTCAATCTCCAACCTCGTAGTAACGTCCGCAGACTGGAGGCGCCGCTCTGTTTTCCTACAGATGCTCTGTACTGGACCCCCGACTCGTTCCCTGGCACTGTCCGTGGAGCGGAGGCGCTGTTCCTGGTGATGATCTGTGCCCTCGGCAGGACGGTGGGGCCGTTTGAGCCGGTGCGGGCCAGCACGACCATCGTGCCGTGGTCAGCCGGCGAGCACCTGCTTTCGGCCAAGTTCTACTCCAAGCAGCTGTCCGACGTGGACGGCTTCCTGCGGATACTGGTCAAGCCGCGCCTGCTCAACACCGGTAGCGTCGTTCTGGACGAGGTGTCGTCGGGCGCTGGCCGCTCTCTGTAGCCAGCGCCGGGAGACTGAAGCCTCCAGCTGCCTCCTCGAGCCTTCGCGGGAACCCGGTGTCCTTGGTTGCCGGCGCTGGAGGCGGGCTGAAGCAACAGCCGGTGTCCGGAGCCTTCGCTAGAGCCGGGCGTCTCTGCAGCTGGCCTCAAGCCTCCGACCTAAATCCCCGCATGGTTCCGCGCCTCCGCGGCCTCCATTGGAGTAAGGCCTCTGTAGCTTGTAGTGAAATCGGGCCGAGGCCGCCGGGCGAGATTCCGTTTCCTTCGTTGGGGCTGGGGTTTTGTGAAGCCTGCGCCAGATTCGCTGAAGCTCGCAGCGAATGCAACCTCGGCGCCGTCGGTGGAGCCAGCTCTACACCAAGTGTCTAGCGGAGTGCTTTTGCCCTTCGGCGGAGCTTCTGCAGCCTCCCACTGAAACTGAACGATCTCTGTTTCTTCGCCGGAGTTAACATCCTTAGCAGCTTTCATCGGGAATCTCTCAAGTCCTCATCGGGTTGGGATTGCCCTTGTGATTTTTAGCAGAACCTTCCCTGGCGTCCACCGGAGTCTCAGTAGCCCGAAATGGCTGCTCGATCTTCGCAGTGTTCACCTGAGGGGCGCAGCCTCTAAAGCCTCCATTGCTGACAGCTAAACTGTTTGCGGCCGCCGATGTCTCTGTAGCCTTGACGAGAATAGACTACGCTGCAGCCTCCATCGCTGCAGACTCGGCTCGCAGCTCTTGTTCAAGGTCTCACAGCCCGGTGCTGGGCTCGTTTTCCGGGGACTGCCGCCGCCTGGTGTAAGCTCTCCGCCGCCGCCGGCGGGAGCGGCGGCGCAGTCGCACGCCCTTGTCGGACCCAGCTGCCGCCCAGAGTCGAGACGTTAATAGGATCCGTAATGGCATTCCCCGGATGGGTATCTTTAGATAACGTTTGGCAGCGGCCGCTCATCCGGGTTCTGGTTACTGGTGGTGGCTGCGCTTGGCCACTGCAAACCTCAAGAACATCTGTGGAGTAGGAGGACAAGTGGGAAAAGTCGAGGTGTTTGAAGATGCAGTCAACAAAGTGCTTGAAAGAACAACGCAGGCTGGCTGGGCTCTAAAACAAACTAACGGTACCAGCAGAAATGTCTGCACTGTGGGAGATGAACTGGCTTAGAAGGTATCTTCGCGACATAGCAAGCGGTTTTATTAATTTAGTCGAAATACCGCTCCCACCAAAGTTTGTATTAGAATGTGTCTAGCTTGTCATTTTTGTGCCACATGCTTTGTAGAAGTTGAGCCCGTTTGCTGTATGTGTATATAATGTTAGAACGCAGATCCACGCTAACGCCTATTGTGCCATTTAACTGAGCTCTTCATTGCCGTTTATGTAGTGAAGATATCTTGATTTGTTTTCTCTGCGGTTGGCTTAGTTTGTCTCCTTGGCCACAGTCCTTGCCGTCACAGTGAAGAGATTGAGTTTTACGAAAAATGATTTCTGAAACAGATGCATGTTACGCTCCAGCATGCTGTTCGGATAATGCTACGCCCTTCTTATCACCAGTTCTCTCCACGCGATAACAATTCCCCTGAGCGGTCTTGTCATGAACCAAATAGGAGCCGAGCGTGCGATGGTCATGTTTTCACCACAACAGTGATGCAGCCCGGGGCGCTACTTCCGAAGACAAGAAGCAAACCTGACTGTTGGTCTCTTGCTGCGTCAGAAATCATAAGTCCACGCTCATGCCAGGAAAAATGTATCTAGCTAACCTTTTTGGTGGGCCCAATTGCTGTAGCAAAAGAACCGGGAGATGTCTCTCCTAGCTTAAGTACGCTTATTGTTTTATCCCGGTGTTCAAATTTGTGTTTGTATCGTGGAGGATATGTCTCTTGCAGTGTTTCCGTGTGTGAGTGGCGCTAGCTGTGTTCCGTTGGTTGAATGAGGAGTTTGCCAAATTTCACACACATTTTTAGATTTTTACCAGTGATACTCTCTTGTCGGACATGTATTGAATGTATGCTACTCGCAACGAACTAACGTCTTATGCTGGTTTAAAAGGCATTGCGTTCTCCAAGAAGTCATTTGCGCTGTCATTGTGCTATCTTGAAATAAAACACACTCGCGCAGTAAGAAGAATGGTGCCTTCTGAAGGTGCTGTCAGAAGGTGCTGCATGAATGATGCCGCCTGGTAGCCGGGATGGAGTTTCCGTTCAGTGTTGAATGGGGATCAACGGATGGAAAGCATTTATCATGCGGTCAATCGCGTTATGAGTTTAAGGTAACGATAATCTGGGTCGCTGGCATGATGATGGCACTAGCTGAATGCCATGCGTTTTTTCTTTGGTTGACCGGTAGCTCTAATGAGGTATTAGGGCAAAAAGACGCCTTTGTAAAGAGAGGAGCCAATAGCCGTCTGTGCATGAAAGGAGAACGTCTCGGTGATTCCATTTGTAAAACTGAAGACAGCATTTCTGATGCTTGTGTGAAGCTGTAAAATTCTGTAAAAGATGTCATCAGGGTTTTAAGCACACGTAACCTGGACATCTGCAGTGGGTCAACGTTTCGAAAGTGTGCCAAGGCTTGTTGTGCTGACCGTGAAGGGCGTCCGGTTACATCAAACGAAAGAACAGTGAAAACGCACACGTTCCTGTTTCTTGCTGATTTGACTAACCTGTTAACTTAGGTTCATCTAGGCTCCGACCGCATGCTGGACAGAACACTGTGCGTTCACGCCGAGCTCACCACCCAAACAGTGCCATCCCACACCAACGGTAACCGTTCCCCGGTCTCAAGCGATGTCGGAAGGTGGAGAATGCCTTCGGGCCATGAGGTCTAACCATTCGACCGTATGGCGCCAGACTGGCCCGTCTTCGACCATCTCCGCGGGATCCTACACATGGACGGGACGAACAGCTCGACGTCCCCATGTCTGCCATTCCCCACGCCACCCACGCCACTCCAAAATGGGTTCCAAACGGCACGGTGGAGCCGCGCCAAATTTTGCATAGCTGTAGAAAATTGAACAGCGGATCATTTGGCACTACAAATGTACATATATCTGGTAAAGTTGTTGACCTACGGCCGGTCAAAGTCAGGTCATGAATTCTGCGGGGACGATTTCCGGGGAAACGTTCAATATGATGCAACAACAAAGTGATAGACGAGGCTATACATCTCTGAGATATTTTCTTAGGCAACGCAACAATTAAATGAACGAATTCCATTGATCTAGGGTCAGGTATAAAGGCCAGACCCAGGTCAAAATTAGCATGTTTCATTATTCTAGAGCTCGCTGTGCCAGGCAGTTTCTGGCACTCATCTCGAATTTATTGATAACGGGAACCGCATTATGCATATTTTTTAAACTTCTTAAAGGGCGAGGTCAATTAAATGATCAGGGTCAAGGTTGTCAAGGTCAACATTTTGTTTTTAGGAACATACTGTCTAACGTGATCTTTGACGCTTATTCAAATGCAATTATCATAAATAAATACGGCAATCCTTATTCTGGGGCACTTAAGAACTAATCTGGAGTTCGACCCTATTTGACCCGAAGGTTATAATCTAGGAAATCAAAATTTTGACACAAGTGAGTTCATATTCAGGCTAGTACACTCCGTGAATTTGGTGTCTCTAGCTCTCTTATTTTCTGAGATCTCAAGGGGGTAAAATTGACCCCCGCCCGAACGAAGGGTATTCAACCGGCCACCCGGGTGGCTGTTAAGTCTTCGACAGCATTCCCTTGGCTGTGCGGACAACAAAGTGCATGGTACACTGTTCACACCTTTGCATGCAGGCACATGACGTCGAACGTCCAATGCCCAAAGATGCAATATTCTCATTGGCGATATGTCAATCGTCCGCCCTCAGACTGTTCATCCATAGCATGCCAAGTCTTTCAAGGCATGCGTGAGATTCGAGGCCCTCCATCGCGCGGTAAAGCTGGAGTCACAGGGCTGGCGTGACCCATCGTCGTCGCTGCGCGTTTGATCGATAAACGGGCCGCCAACGCCGTGCCCGGCGTCCTCGGGGTCGTAGTACGTAGACCCAGCTCAGGCCCCGCACGAGCTCCACCTCCGCGTCAGTGTCGGCCCTCGTCGCAGCCGGGCATCCCTTCGCGGCGACGCTCTCGGGAGCGGCATCGCCCGGGGCCCCGCCCCGCGCCCTCGAACATCTCGACCGCCACGCGATTGGCTGGGTCGCCGCCAGGACCTGCAGCGTTCTCCCAGAGAGCCGTTGGTCGTAGCCGGTAAGTTGGCCGCCGCAACGAAGTGAGTTCAGTTGAACTTGAGGCATCTGTCGGCGCCAGACGCGAAGGGAGGGGAGGGGGCGGAGGGTTCGCTGCCCGGAAGGATGCCCTGCTCTGCCGCACTGCTGAGCAGACGGCTATCGAAGCTGGCGCGGGGCACGGCGCAGGTGGGCGGGCTCTCGACGGCCGCGAAATAGCGGCTGAGCCGCGGGCTGGGGCGATCAGGTCGGCTTTTGTGTCTGGTGGTGAACACGGCCGCCGAGGAGCGATGGCGCTCGGATGTAAAGTATGCAGCTGGCTGTCGTGAGAAGCGAATAGGACGTGGGCTTTGGGCTTTAAATTAGAGGACGAATGTAAGCGCCAATTTCCAGCGCCATTCTGTGGCAACAACGGTGGGCTGGTCGCATTCTGTGATATACAGGGCGTTCGCACGCCATGGCTCTGGGGTGTTATCACTTTCCAAAAATGTGAGAAACAGTTGTTGAAGTATTTACTAGTAGGCAGACCAAATGCTACATGCACAAAGCTTATTTTTCGAACCGAAATGTATGTTAATTTAGCTGTTATCTGTTAACGCGATCCCACTGCATGCGACTAACAACAGCATCCGACGGTCGATTCGTTTTCGCAGGGCAGCTACAGAGGCACCCCGGGTGGATCTTGCCGCCTCGCCGCGCCTTTCCGCTTGCCGTGCCCGTCACGAGCGCGGACAGAGTGCGAGAGCATCGTCAGCCGACCTCCGTGAGTCGCTGGGGAGATCACGCCAGGCTCAGTGCTCTGTGACGGTGTTCTCCGCCGGGGAGAGCACCGCCACCGAGCGGGCTGCGAGCCCGCCGCCGCTGTCAGGGCAGCCCCCAGACGTCCCGTGAACACCGGCACCGAGCGGGAGCAGCCGGCGTCGGCGGCTCTGGCACAGCCAGGGAGCGGGCCTGAGCGCCGGGCGCCAGGTGGCGCCAGCGCGCCGGCGACACCCGTGCCGCCGCTGGCGTTGCCCGGCGCGGACACCGACTCCCGTCGCTCCACGCTCACCTCCTCCTGTCCGGTGTACCCGCCGTCGGCGCGCCGCCTGCACCACGTGGACGACGTGTTCTCGGAGGCGTCGTCGCTACACCTGCTGCCGGTCAGCCCGGTGTCAGAGCTCAGCGACTGCTGGTCCGAGCATGTCGAGGCGTGGCCCGACACCCCGCCGCCGCCACCAGAGTCGTGCGCCGCGCCGCAGGGGAGCGCGCGCCGGCAGAGCCGCGCCCACCTGCTGCGCCACGTCTCCTCAAAGCTCAGCCTGCTGGACGCGTGCCGACGGCCGGCCGAGATGTCGGCCGCGTTCGCCGCCGCCGCCGGGGCGCTGACGCCTCGCGGCCGGCCGGCGCCGGAGGGCGAGGAGCCGCGCGCCGCCACATCCCGGCGCGTCAGCCATGCGGCCGGACCGCCTGAAGCGCGTGCCACCACGCCGCCGTCGCCGCCCGGCCGCCGGCCGCCACCGGCTCCGCGTCGCGCCACGGCCGACCGCTTCAGTGGCCCGAAGGAACGGCGCAAGAATGCCCTGCTGCGGCGCGTGAACGGTGGCGCGCGCTTCTTCGAATACCGCGACCCGGAGGCGCGTCCGGTTGGCCCGGTGCGGCACATGTGCGCTAACCTGAGCCGGCAACTGGGCGGGGCGGCGCCGGGCCGCCGCTCAGGTCGGCCCGACCGTCGACGCGGCCCGCTCGCTGTCATCGATACCGATGAGTTTCGGCTGACTGGACCGGGCTATAACGAGCTCGCCGACCGCCCGCTGGACACGACCGGCACGCTCTTCGATTGGTACGAGCTCAGTGAAAGGATGAAGATGTGCGGCGTCTGGGCGGAGACTCGAAAGCGGCCACTGTGAGACTACGTGCGTTTGAACTGGGATGCTGTTTGTGACCCTGACAGTGTACCACACAAAGATAGGCGACATCTAGTAGGATTGATGTGACAGTTCTTCGTAGAAAGCTCGCTGACATCCTGTTTCATATCATATCAGTGACGGCCTGTCGGGGACGATGCGTTCCTGAAGGGTGCATGTGCGATCATGCAAAGCACTACCGGGTTCGTGCACGAGCCCCTCGTCCAAGACCAAACGGCTGTGCGCTTTGACAGTCCGCGAGAATTTCATGGTTATGTACGTCAGCGTAACTTTACAGACCAGCGTTCGACAGAAGACGACACTGGCTGTGGATCAGACTGCGTACATGTGGCTTGTTGTCATTGCTTTCGCCGCGGCCGGCCTGCATCCGGGGAATTGCTCCTGCATGTGGACAGGTCTTTGACAGACATCAGACAGGTCTTTGATATCAGTGAACAGGACAGGCTGACTCCCCAGAGCACCCACCACTACGTTAGGGACGCGAATCGCTCGTAATAATCGTGTCGTTGTCCCAAGGTTCGCATGGATTCAGAATTTTGGAGAGGCGCATATCTTGGCGGCAGCATTTTTGTGCATCGTTGGCGTTTGCAGCACTGTTTGAGACCACCCTGACCTTGGCTGAACACGGCCCTGACCTGACCATCAGCCAAGTTGACTGTCGTCGACAATTGACAAATTTCACTGCTTTTTTACCTTGAAATATAGGCGTGTGAAGGTCATTGTATAATTAGAGTGAGATACATATGTACAGAGGGATATATATATATATATATATATATATATATATATATATATATATGTATTCCAGTGACTGTTTTATACATGCACAGACAGCCGTCTCTCGCCAATCCACTTCTCCCTGTTTTTCGATCAAGCGAAGGAGACTGTCCCCGTGTTGAGGCATCCGTCAGCAGTGATGTCATAATGATTAATGTTATAAATTGGGTTCAAGGTTACTAAAACGACTTTACGACGTAATAAAACTGAGGCCACTGAGGAGGCTAGCGTTGCCCATATTCCTATGTCAGCACGCTTTTACGGCTTTTCCGGGTCACTGTCGGCTCGTGAGCGATGCACCCAGATCGCACGTATGAAGACCAATTCAGAGAGACCAGACGCGGAAGAGCCACGGAGCGCCAGACCGTGGCTGGGCAGAAGCTTCTGGTTCTGATTGGCCGATCGATAACCGGCTGTTATGGTGGTCCTAATGATCGAGGTAATATATTACGTTAATAGACGCCTGATATCTCAGTTGAGGTTCAGTTCATGCCTTCAAAACCGTGGTTTTCCAGCGAAAGTTCATTCTGGAGTTACCCATGTACCCAACGTAATTCCAGGGGCATAAGCATGGGAAATGGCCTAGCTTCTCCTTGCAGACTGTTGCATTTGCCCCCTGTCGAGGATTTTGGACAGTCGTCCGTCATGAAATGCTGATTTCGCCCGAAGGCAACATTTGAACAATTTTCGCAATTTATCGGAAGCCTCATTTTTACCTTCTTTTTATGATAACGATATACAAGCACTTTTGAAAATGTCACATCCCGGAGCCGTGTAGCTGAACCCGCTTCCTAACCTTTGCAAGGCTGAATGACCTGAAAATGAGAAATTCTCTAGTCTTGCAATAGAGGAGAGTAAGGAATGTCAGAAAGCAATGTTGTAGTCTCTCGGGAAATCACAACAAAACTCGTCATTTTTCAGTCAGATCACTCAAAGGGGCAGAATGAAAAAGCATTATTTCTAGTTAAAGGCGTGAGTTTACCGTAGCTCAATACCACATGTAGTTTGGCAAGTTTCCCGAGGAGCACTACAATACTAGAAAGAAAAGAATGTTGTTTAGTCTCAACCGTCAGTCGCCATTGAGGTACATAGTGAGCAATTCAGGCACATGTGGAATACATTTAGGGGAGACGCATCATCAAGCACATCCCTTAAGGGATGGCACACCCTCTCCGCTTAACCACAGCTTTCCCATCCAGCGGAAGGCGATGTCTGATCGGAAATGAGGCCGCTGCTCACCATTGCAGTGCCCCCTCCCCTTAGAAATCAAGATCTTAGCGAAGAATATGACCAGTCCGCCAGAAAGAAACACTTTTCAAAGAAACCGTCATCAGATGTTAGCCTTGTCCCTTGAAATAGGTTTGGCCCGGATGGACTTCAACAGGGATCAGGAAAAAAGACCACATGGCATATTCTATGCGACCAAATGAAAGCTTCGGCATCTGTTCTTGCGAGTTTTGACTCGCAGTCGCATACACGCGTCATAGGAAACCGACACTGGTATTCGGCGTATAATGTCATGGCTGTTAGTTGTATCTGCTGTAACTGTTTGGTCCCGTTTCGTCATCTTTACGGCTCCGAAGCATTTCCCTGTAAAAAGGCTTGTCGCTGAGCTGAATGCCACAATTATTGGTGCAAGAGATGCTCTCAGCATGAGTGATGTACGAGGCACCATCAGTAGGCATCTACCTGGATCAGCAGGTCGCCAGGATGTCAATTATCTCTTTTTTTGTCTCCTGTCACAAGTTAACATGCTTCAAACGACCTACACCCGTACTACCGACTGCTGCACTTATTGGATTTCCTCCTCATGGCCAAGGCACAGCTTCATTTCACCCCACATCGATGTGGCACCTCGACTCTAATGGCGCGAAATGTGGATGAGGCACCGAAACTATATCAATATACGTGGAGGAGAGATGGAACGCATTCCTTTTTTCCATAATTCATCACAACCTTACCCTAGGACCGCTGTCCAAAAAATATGGTCATGTCAAACAGAGCCATGTTAACCATATGGCCACGTCAGCCATATATGCAATTCTAATTGCTGTAAGCAGGACCAGTATAGGACAAATCATCGCACAAGAATGCAATATCATAGGCACATTCCCTGGGTTATGAAAGAACTTTTGACGTGCAGGAAAATAAATAACGATGCTAACAGACACATAAATCACTGTCCCACTGCCGGCCGGCCGGCAGTTGCCGTCCCGGCTGCCGCAGCCGGCTGGCGACACTTCATTTCTCATGAGACATTGGCGCAAACGGAAGTGATAGCCACGAGACTGGGTCGGAATTTTGATTGATCAGCCTGTTGCTGCTCTGTGAGCGTC